GCCCCCCCCCCCCCCCCCCCCGGCCTGCTAGGGCCTTCCTCACCCACACGGCCCTGTCCCTCCGGGCATCGGGGGCGGGGGTTCCTTCCCGCTGGTAAGCGAGCGCATCTGTGTTCCAACCAGCAAGCGGGCGTGCGTGCGCGCGTGCGAACCGCCCCCGAAGATAAGGGGGCGAGTTCGCTCAGGTGTCGCTACAACCGTTGCGCGTCCTCGGCCGATCCGGCCCCCGGCCCCGGTCCCCGGTCCCCGGCCCCTCGCCCCGGTCCTGGGCAATCTCGCGCCCGGGCCGGCGTGGCAGGACTGCCACCCCAGCGCTTGAGGCTGATTTGTGGGGTCATCCTGCCGCCCCCGCCCCCCCCTTTGGCCCCGGCACCCACCCCGGCGCCCCCTCCCCCCCCCCCGGGCGCTGGTCGGCCAGCCGGGGAAGGGCGCATCTTCGCTACCCGCGATCGCCCCGCGCCAGGGGGCGGTCTGGCATATGCACACGTATGCGCCTGCGGGCGGGTGTATGCATGTGTTCGCGGGAGCACGCACCCGCCCCCGGGCATGTAACACACCTTCTTTGTCTGCGTAGGTCAGCGCACATGCAGGAGCTGATGCCGGGACGGGGCCGGGGCCCGTCCCTTTGCCCTGCTCTGCCTTGCCCCCATCCTTGACCGAGGGCTGGCTGGGCACCTGGCTGCCAGCCCCCGAGGGGGAGGGGGGGGGGGGCGGGGCGACGGACGGCGGGGCCTGGGGTGGTGAGTCAGGACCAGCCGATGTACAACACACACACACACACACACACACACACACACGCTTACACACGTTCACACACACATACACACACACATTGATGAGGGGCGGCTGTCCATATCCCTCGGAGGCCCCGGCTCCTTGCCACCACCCAACCTTTCCTGTTCCTCCCCCCTTCCCCTGAGCCCTTCCCCTTTTTTTATCGCCCCTCCTCCTTCTTCCTCCCTCCCCCATCTTCCTCCCCATGTGCGCCTCCGCTCAGTCGTGAGCCAAGCAGATCGCCCCGCCCCCCCCCCCCACCCTCTGCCCTCGACCCTATGGCCCACTTGCTCACCCGATCCCTCCCCACCGCCCCTTTTGTCTCCTTCGCCCGGTGCCGATGGCGCAGAAGCAGCCATGTCGTTCTTCCAGCGCATGCTCCGTACTACCGAGTTCCTTAGGGCTGTCCCCAAGAGCGACCAGTTCATCGAGGGTGCCCTCACGCCCGAGGAGGTACCCCCCCCCCCTCTTTCTGTCCCCCGGCCACATTACCCGCCCCATCCTCTCTTCACCCCCACTGACCCACTTCCTCCTTGCCACGACGTAGTTCGTGACCGCCGGCGACTTCCTCGTCCGTAAGTGTGGCACCTGGCAATGGGAGGCCGGCGATCCGGCCAAGGCTCGCAGCTACCTCCCGGCCGATAAGCAGTACCTCGTCACTCGTCAGGGTGCGCCATTTCGTTCCCCCCCTCCTCTCTCTCTCTCTCTCCCCCTTCCC